ACAAGAAAAAAGAAATTATAGGCCAGTATCACTGATAAACATAGATCAGATATGCTTAACAAAATATTAGCAAATGGAATTCAACAGCATATTAAAAGATTCATACACCATAATGAAGTTGGGTTTATCCATGGGCCTCAAGGATGGTTCAACAGATGCAAATCAGTAATGTGATAAACCCCATTAGAAATACAAAGGTTAAAAATCATATAATCATCCCAATAGATAGAGAAAAAGCATTTGACACAATTCACAATCCATTTATGATAAAAACTCTCAACAATTAGGTATTGAAGAAATATACCTCAACATAATAAAGGCCATGAATAAGAAGCCTATAACTAACATCATATATAATGGTGAAAAGCGGAAAGCTTTTCCTCAAGGATCAGGAAAAAGACAAGGATACACACTTTCACCACTATTGAACAAAAGGAAATAAAAGGTACCCAAATAAAAAATAACGAAGTAAAGTTATCTCTGTCTGTAGATGACATATAGAGAAAACCCTAAGACTCCACACACGCACACACACACACACACACACACACACACACAAACCTGTTAGAATTAATAAATGAAGTCAGTAAAGTTGCAGGATACAATATCAATACACAAAAATCTGTTGTGTAATGAATAATGAACTATCAGAAAGAGAAATTTAAAAAACAATACCATTTACAATAGCATCAAAAATAATAAGATACCTAGGAATAAGTCTATCCAAAGAGATGAAAGACTTGTATCCTGAAAACAATAAGACAATGATAAAATAAATTGAAGAAGATATAAATAAATGGAAAGTTAGCCTATGTTCATGGATTGGAAGAATCAATATTGTTAAAATGTGCATACTACCCAAAGCGATCAATAGACACAATTCATGTCAAGATAGCCCTGGCATTTTTCACAGAAGTAGAATAAACACTCCTAAAATTTACATGGAACCACAAAGACTCCCAAAGAGCCAAAGCAATCTTGAGAAAGAAGAGCAAAGCTGAAGGCATCATGCTTCCTGGTTTCAAACTATATTATAAAGTGATTAAAATGAAAATAATATCATATTGGCAGATCAATGGAATAAAATTAGGAACCAGAAATAAAGTCACACATATATCCTTAATTAAAATTAGATAATGGTGCCAAGTATACACATGAGGAGAGTAGTGTCTTCAGCACAAGCAAAAAAAAAAATGAAACCACAATATTAAACCACTGATGAAAATTAACTCTAGATGACTTAAATATGACTTGAAACTATAGAAGTCCTAGAAGATACATAGGGAAATATCGGCAATGATATTTTTTGGATATGACAGCAAAGCACAGACAGCAAAAGCTGAAGTAAATAAAACTATATCAAATGAAAAAGCTTCTATTCAACAAATCAACAAAATGAAAAGGCAACCTATGGAATGGGAGAAAATATTTGCAAATCATAGATCTGGATATATATATATATATCAACTTATACAACTCAGTAGCAAAAAAAATCAAATCCAATTAAAAATGGGCAAAGATCTGAATAGACATTTTTCCGAAGAATACATGCAAATGGCCAATTGGTACTCAAAATCATTAATCATCAGGCATATGCAAATCAAAACCACAATGAACTATCACCTCATACCTGTTAAAATGGCTTTTATCAAAAAGACAAGAGATAACAAGTGTTGGTGAGAAGGTGGAAAAAGGAAACTCTTGTATACTTTGGGTGGGAATGTAATTTGTTATAGGCATATGGAAAACAATATGCAAGTTCCTCAAAAATTTAACAGAACTACCATATGATACAGCAATCCCATTTCTGGGTATATATCTGAAGGAAATGAAATCAGTATCTTGAAGAAATATCTGCACCCTCCTGTTCATTATAGCTTTATTCACAATAGCCAACATACAGAAACAACCTAAGTGTCCACTGATGGATAAGGAAGATGTGAGATTATATATATAGATATATATCTATATATATAATGGAATATTATTCAACCACAAGAAAAAAGAAAATCTTGCTATTTACAACATTGTTGAACCTAGAGGACATTATGTTAAACATAATAAGCCAGAGTTAGACAAACACTTCATGATTAAACTTGTATATAAAATCAAAAAAGAAAAAAAGAAAAGGTCAAATTCATAGAAGCAGAGAGTAGAATGGTAATTATCAGGGGCTTGCAGATGAGGGGGGGGATGAAGAGATGCTGGTCCAAGGCTGTAAGCCTTCAGTTACAAGATGAATAATTCTGAAGATCTAATGTACATGTAGTTAGTAATATTATGTAGTTAACAATAATGTATTGTATAGCTCAAGTTTGCTAAGAGAGTAAATCTTAAGCATTCCAGCTACAAAAAAAAAAAGTATGTGAGGTGATTAATGTGATTTTGAAATCATTACCAAATGTATATGTGTACCAAGTCATCTCATTGTACACTTTCTATATACAATTTTATCCATTATACTTCAATAAAGTAAGCAGGAAAACCTATAATAGACATACAAAAGATAAGGAGATAAAAATCAAAGTAAAAAACTGTAAAACATAATCAAATAGCAAAGGAAGTCATCAAAAGTGGAAGAGATTGAAAAAACAATTGCAAAACAGAAGACAATTAGCCAAATGTGAATAGTGAGTGTTCACCTATCAATAATCCCTTTAAATGTAGATGGATTAAACTTACTATTAAAAGGAATACAGTACCTGAATAGGTAAAAAACAAGAACTCACTTTAGGTTTAAAGACACAGTAGGCTAAAAGTGAAGGAATGGGAAAAGATATTTCATGTGAATGGCAACCAAAGAATGTTGGAGTGGCTATACTTCTATCAGAAAAAAAAATGGACTTTATGTCTAAAACTGTCTCTGGAGACAAAGAAGGTCATTATATAATAATAAAAGAGTCAATTCAACAGGAAGATGTAGCAATTTTCAACATATGTGGATCCAACATTGGAACTCCTAAATATAGAAAACAAATATTCACAACTCTAAAGAGGAGAAATTGACAGCAATACAATAATATTAGGAGACTTCATTACCCCACTTTGAATAATGGATAGAACACCCAGACAGAAATTCAAGAAAGAAGCTCTAGATTTGAACAACAATATAAACAAAATGGACCTAATAGTTATATACAGAATTTTCCACCCAGCAGTGTACATTCTCCTCAACGGCACATGAAAGATTCTATAACAGTATCTTTCTCAACCACAGTGGAGTAAAACTAGAAATCAGTAACAGCAAAAAGAATGGGAAAATTCACAAATACATGGAAAGAAAACAGCACACTCTCAAACAATTGGGTCAAAGAAGAAAGTGCAAGAGAATCTTTAAAAATATCTTGAGACAAATGAAAACAAAAACACAATGTAACAAAATTTAGAGATGCTGCAAAAGCAGTGGGAAGAAGGAAGATTTTAGTTGCAAGTGCCTACATTAAAATAGAGGATCTTATATAAATATCCTAACTTTATACCTCAAGGAACTAGAAAAACAAACCAAACCCAAAGTTAGAAGGGAGGAAATAATAAAGATTAGAACAGAAATAAATCAAATAGAGAACAATAAAGCATCCTATTCCACCATCTCACTAACAACAATCTATTTTTCAAGTTTATGCGCATGTTGGGTTTTCTTTTTTTAATTTCCTAAAGCAAAACAATGAGTTGGTATGCAATCTATTTTCTTTTTTTTTTTTTTAAGATTTTATTTATTTATTTATTTGACAGAGAGAGACACATCGAGAGCAGGAACACAAGCACGGGGAGTGGGAGAGGGAGAAGCCGGCTTCCCTTGGAGCAGGGATCCGAATTCAGGCTCTATCCCAGGACCCTGGGATCATGACCTGAGCCGAACGCAGTCGCTTAACGACTGAGCCACCCAGGCACCCCTATTCGTTTCTATTATATCTATATAATGGTAAAATTTCCCCTCAGCACTACTTTAGTATCATCTCACAAAATTTTATTTAAAATGTTTTTTATCATTTAATTCAAAAGACTTAATATCTTTTTTTTTTTTTACTTTTTAAGTAAGCTCCATGCCCACCGTGGAGCCCAACACCAGGCTTGAACTTGCAGCCCTGAGATCAAGACCTGAGCTGGGAAGAAGAGTCAGATGCTCAACTGACTGAGACACCCAGGCGCTGCTTTAATGTCTTTTTTTTTTAAGATTATATACTTTAATTCCATATCCTGAGTGTTTAATATTCCAAGTATCCCATGTCCAGTCTCCTGGGTGCCCCAAATGAAGGAATAGAATTACCAATTATGAAAAAATATATACTTCATGCTTTCCCCTTTGATTTCTTCTTTATTCATGGACTAGTCAATAAATAAAGCTGAATTTTGTGGAGAGACCTGGTAACTGACAAAAGTCTTCTTTATTGTTTCAAGTTAAGTTATACATAATTTGAGGATCATCATTTTGGTCTTAGAAGATAAATGAATGTAATGTGTTGATCTGTGTCAGACTCATTGAACTCCATGTATCCATATGGTTTTAAGCACCCAGTTATGATGACAGACATTTCAAATTCTCAGAGTTGTGGTAGCTATGGTAGCAAATTCTCTGAGATCATCACCTGATCTGAGATACCCCAGTTAGTTAACTGAATGCTGGGGTTGCTAAAGAGATCCTGAGTACACAATATTTAAAACAAGTGCCTGGAAAGGATCCATTGCCAGTATCGTTCTGGCATGCTGTAGGATTCCAGATCCATTAGACAAACAAATTTCTAATAATCTCCTAGAAGGGATTCTGAGCATTCTAAATTTTGCTTCTTCATTCCAAAAAAAAAATTTTTAATGAACTATCCTGATTTAATATCTTTGGAAATTCATAGCTTATTTTCCCTGTCACAAGAATTTGGGTGATTTGGATTTTCTGGGTTTTCATTTATAAGTAACTCCTTATTTTTTATATGTTATATTATTTGAGTCTTTATGAAAATGCTTATTTACACGCTTATCTTTTCCTTATACTGTCTCCCTTTCAGAAAGATGTTCAAAATCAGATATAACAATTGAAAATGGATTTTTTTCTGAATATGAATTTGCATATCCCTTGAATAAAGAAACACAATATCAGTGTAAATCAGGATATGTAACACCAGATGGTAAAACTTCAGGATCAATTACATGTCTGCATAGTGGATGGTCACCTCAACCCACATGTATTAGTGAGTAATTTTATGTTCATATTCATTATCCTCATGATCATTGTTTAAAGTTTAACTTAATTCTTTTCTCGGGGGAGGGGCTGACGTGGTTCCCATTTGAAAAGATAAATGAAAAAATATATAATTTTTTTTTACTATTAAGATTAATCACTTGTAGGGTGGAGTATCAGTCTATCTTTCAGTTCAAGTTTTCTTCCACTTTAAAACATCCTGTGATTTAATTAATTAATTAAGTTAAATAAAGCATCCTGTGATTTGGAAACTAGATAGGGAGCCTTCTGTGTGTTCTCCTATAAACTCATTTATTTTCGGCTGACATCTTTGTGCCCTATTGTACCTGCTTTTAGGTGATTAAACTTTTATGTCAGTCTTTTTTCCTAGACATAAAAGTTATGTTTTTAAGTCAAGATCAGGGTCCATAGTGCATAATTTTAATTTAACCTGTAGAATTTACATGTTTGATGATCCAGGGTAGGTCCACTTCTAAAAAACCCTCTCCCTTAGGAAATCTTCATAAACATCTCATTAGTGGAGACAGAAATGTTTCCAGATAGTACCAAATGCAGCTGTG